ATTTTTATCTCAGCTGCCTCTCTCTAGGACTATTCTCTAGAGAAATTCCATTTTCATTACAAAACTAGTTTCTTATGCCAGGGAAAAGACTTCGGAGCTGTTATCATTGCCACTGTTATTTCTACTGAGGTCATCTGCGATGGCATGTCTACGTGAGATAAATGGTTTCCTAAACAGCCTTCTCTGCACCCTGCCACTATAGAGGTTTGCCCCGAGTCATCACTTCTGAGGCCTTGAAAGAAGCAGCTTCCTGGAAGGCTCAAAAGCTGGGCGGCAGCAGAGCATCAGCCTTAAGGGCACCAAGCACTCTGAAACTGCTGGGTTCAAAATCGGTCACCCAAACAGCTGTAATGGGTCCCCTCTGCAAGCTTCGGTGTTCTCATCTGCAAGACAAGGATGAAAACACCACCGGCTCCCAGGACTGTTATAACAAAGAAATACGTGAATAGCAATAGAATGTTTAGAAAGCGTTGGGCAAAGTACCGGCCATGTGAACCTCTGCCTTATCACTGTTGTGAGAATAGCTGAGGTGCCACTTTAACACTTGCCAGTACTGCTTGTCATGTGTCCCCAGCTGCCTGTCCATTCATTCAATAGATCAATATTATTGAGCGTCTATGTGCTTGCATTGCACTGAGCACTGAGAATTCAGTACTGATCAGCTGTGCACAGCCTTGCTGATTCTTCTGTAGAACACCTTTTCAGGTAGTCACACCCTGGCAGTTCCTACTGCCCATGCCTCAGGGCAGCTGCTCAGCAACTTCGCCGGGGCACCTGACCCCACCTTCCCATCTGGCCCCCTTGATGCCCTCACTGCCACCAACACGCTACCGTCAGCAGTGTTTTCATCAACAAACAAATCCAGTCGTGTTGCTTACTATCCTGCTAGAAACCTTTACTGGCGTTCCACTGCAGAAAAGATCCAATCGAACTCCCTAGTGGGGCACACAGAGCTGTGGAAAGTGAGCCTCCAATATCTTCCCACTTATCCCCTTTCCAATCCATCTCCAAACCCCTTTCTTCTGGTCACGCTGACCTTTTTGCCATTCCCAGCTTGGCAGGCCCTTCAATTCCTCTGCTTATTTGCATATGGTACCCTTTCACATTCTCCAGAGAGCAGGCTCTCTTTCTTTTTTCTTTTTTTTTTCCCTCTTTCTCCCCTCTCTCTCTCTCTCTCCTTCTCTCTTTCTTTCTTTTTGAAAAAACTCTTACATATCCTTCAAGCCCAGGCCAAATGGCACCTTCTCTGTGAAACCATCCTTAACTTTCCCAGGAAAAAACTCACTGGACTGTAATAGATCTGTTTATGTGTCTGTTTCCCCAGGAGACTGCCCCCCCCGCCCCGCCCCAGGGCCAGAGATCATGTCCAGAAACCCAGTAGGCACAAAGAATGTGGAACAAACAAATGACCACGTTTTACTGTACAGTGGTTTCAAAATGAAGTCAGAGGCAGAGTTAAGGCTGCAAAGCAGCTCCTCACCGACACCACTCTATGCATCCTGCAGCAGGAGAGGCGCTATTCTAAATATGTGCACAATTTAATTTATGCGCAGACAATAATTTAGATGCAGTAAGGCAGCAAAAGTTCCCCCAGAAATTACATCCCTATCCACTTGAGTCAAGTTCCTACTAATTCTCTGCTCCAGAAAGGGAGGTCGGAGACGAAAAAGAATGAAAGAAGTCAGCAAATGCCCCTGGAGGTCTCTTTGCCTGTTTAACATAGATATTTACTTTCATATTGCTTGGCCTCCTCTCTTTCACTACAGTCTGGAATGAATCACTTCACATAAGTAAATTTTTCAGATGACTGAAGCCTAAACTTTTAAAAAATTTTAACCATTTGGAATGGAGATATTTCTGCAACTTGCTACCCACTTTCCCTGAACTCTTCGGCTGTTCCTACAGAAAACAACTCTGTCTTGATGACTCAGCGGCATCATTAGGAATCACTAAGACCATCCTGTGCTACGGATCCAGAATCTCTGTGACTGCCCGCCCCACACAGAAGAGCCTCAGAGCCTCCTGGCTGGTTTTAAGACCATTTTTGTCTTCTTCCTTGCTGTCAAACTCTAAGATAATTCTTCAAATAATTTACAGGCCTCCATGACCTCCTCTGTCAGGTCAATTCTAATTTAATGTATTTCCTGTTTCTATTGGCTGGGGGGAAAATGATAACCAACTTTGTGAGAAAATGGGCTTTTAAAAAAGCAAATGGTATGGAATATTATTCAGCCTTAAAAAGGAATAAAATTCTGACGCATGCCATGACATGGATGAACTCTGAAAATATGTTAGGTAAAACAAGCTGGACACAAAGAACAAATATTGCCTGATTCCACTGAAGGCAGGAATCAAAGTCTTCCTTGAAGAGTCAAATTCATAAAGACAGAAAATAGAACAGTGGCTACCCAGGACTAGAGAGAAAAAGAAACAGGGAGTTACTGTTTCATGGGTAGAGTTCCCATGTGGAATGATGAGACAGTTGTGGAAACAGATGGTAGTGATGGTTTACACAACAGTGGTTTATGTAACAATGTGAGTGTGCTTAATGCCACTGAACTATATATTTAAAATTGGTTAAAATGGCAAACGTTATGTATATGTTAACTCACACACCATATACATACATACCTATGTATATATCTGCATATTTATACGGATGGATGTTTACACAAACCGGTTGAGAAGGGTGGCTGAGCTCTCATGGGTAACAGGTATGAACTTTAGCATATGAACTTCGTGGCATCCCTCTGCACACAAGGGGCTGAAATGATGTCCTAGTTCCTAGTTGTGATTCAGACCGCCATCAAGAAACTAATATCTCTGAAGGTGTTAATGTCTTTTGCAGTCATAAAGATCATTTACTCACGAATTACAGTACTGATGACAAACAGGCACTCCTAGCTTCTTGGAGGACATTATGAATAATTCCAAAGAGAACTGAGCTCCAGAAGGGGTGGGGCTTTGTCCTTTTCGTACAGGAAACCAGTGCGCCTGTCCACCGCTCAGAATCCAAAGCTACTCTTCCTTTGTCCTGAGCTCAACATCTAGAACTAAGAGGTCACATGTAAAGCTGTTAAAAGAGCAAAAATACTGATTATCTGAATTCACTAGGATCTTAAGGATATGTAAAAACTATATAAAGCAGTCTTTTAAATATTACAATGTCGGGTTATAGCTTATAAATGAAACATTTTAGGTGATATTGGACCAATATTTTTAAAGCAGTCTGGTCTATAAAAGAGAGAGGAGGCTGGGCACGGTGGCTCACGGCTGTATTCCCAGGACTTTGAGAAGCCAAGGCGGGTGGATCACGAGGTCAGGAGATCGAGACCATCCTGGCCAGCATGGTGAAACCCTGTCTCCACTCAAATACAAAAAATTAGCCTGGCATGGTGGCGGGCACCTGTAATCCCAGCTACTCCAGAGGCTGAGGCAGGAGAATCACTTGAACCCGAGAGGTGGAGGTTGCAGTGAGCTGAGATCACACCACTGCACTCTAGCCTGGCAACAGAGTAAGACTCCATTTCAAAAAAAAAAAAAAAGAGAGAGAGAGAAAAGAAAAAGAAAAAGAGAGAGAGAGAGAGAGGAAATAGATGGTGGCTTGTTCAGTTCAACTAACACAGAGCCTGGAGTTTGGGGAGCATGGTGGTGAACTCTGTCTTGCTTAATGAAAGGTCACTATTGTCCCTCTGCCTGAATAATAATTTCCCTTCCTTTTTTGCTTCCTTATGAAGTACATATGAAGTTCACTCTAAAAAGTCATAACATGTTATGCCCAGGGAAGATGTTAAATTGAAATTTTTAAATATGTGCTTTATTAAACAAACCACTCAAAACATTATTTTTGTTCTTCTGAAGAGTGACTTATTCTACCCATGAACTTAAATTGAGTTAAATATTCAACCTATATGTGTTTCATAACACAAGAGATTTGTAAATAAATGAGAAAGCAGAAAAAAAGAGGTTTAGTAAGGATGCAGTAAGAGTTTCCTATCTTGTCAGAATTTCGTGTTTCTTTTAAGAAAGTAGTTTCCTGGCCCATGCTGAAACTCCCTTAGCCCTGCAAATAACACAAGGGCATCCTGTTCAAATGTTATTATGGAAACACTGTGCTGTTCTGGGCCAAATGTATCCAAATTAAACTGAGGGGGATGGAAAGAACTCTCCCTTGATACCCTTGGTTGCTGAAGGTGGGTTTGTTTTTAAGTAGAACAAAATTTATAGCTGAATATGAAAACAGATACATCCTCATCTTGTAAACTTGAGTAACATGTCATTCCACCTCTGGACTCTAGAAGAAAAAAAAACACTCAGGTCATGCTTAAAATAAAAAAGAGTGAAGGGATAAGGATCATACCAGAGGTAAAACCGCAGACTTTCCCACCTTTTTATTAAGGTATTAGGCAGGTTGCAATTTGACAGTGAGATCATTTCTCTGGAACCAGGAAGGCACTGTGGGTTTGTTTTGCCAGCACACACTCTGACCCCTGTGAGGGCTTCTGAATCAGGTGCCTGGTCTTGGTAGGAAACAGTGATTACTACTTATTTTTCAAAGCCTATTTAAACAGACTCTAGGAGTCAAAAGGGAAACAGAAAAAAAAGTTTCATTTATTTTCTAACGGCAAAAGAACTTAAAATTCCATGTTGTAAGAAAGACTTCACCTTCTAGTTACTAACTGGCTTCCTAAAAAAACCCAAAAAGTCACATGCCTGAAGTTGTGCTTTTGTGATATGTTTCTGTTTAATTTTTTTTAAATGTAAGTTCCAGAGGACATAAACATCACTTGGATTGCCTAAATAAAGGATGCTGGTTTAGCCTCTTACCAGGCAAAGTCTTTACAGAACCTCTGCTTCCACATCTATAAATCCACTTCTTGCCCTCTGGGAGACATTATTGAGGTTAAATAATCTCCTATCCCTAAATGTGTTAAATGCAGGGTCTGGCACATACTGGGATTCACTAAGTATTCATTTCCTTCCTTCCTCCTGGCTTTCAGGGATTCAGGCCAGTGACCAATGCTGTGATAAATGGAAATGGGGAAGATGAGAAGGATGAGTAGGTAAGGAAAAGAATGCTGTAAACATTTTAGCCAAAAATAGCAAAAGTCTTTTTTAAGTCTACATTGTTCATGGTAACTTACTTAAACTGATGTAAAAGCTATATTATACTAACACATTTACTATTTTTAAGGTACAACACTGTTTTCAACTCTTAATGAAGAAAAATCCATTAAATCTCCTCTGTATAACCTGTAATACTACTAGAAAAATCTCAAAGACTAAGGAAAAAGTTAATATTGTCCCCTCGGCACCCTTCTCTTGCACTGCCCGTCTTCTTTACTTCGTAGCCCTTATGTTATATTGTTAATTATTACGTAGTTTACTATTCTGACTTCCTCACAATGTGGGATTCAGAAGAGATAGGGGAGTTCTTACCTGTCATGGTTATAGCTCCAACCCCTAGAACAATGACTGGCACAGAATAGGCTCTTCATAAACATTTGTTGATTTCATGAACTCGCAGTAGCATGCCCTTTAACATGGTGGAAACCCTACTGATGAAGACTTTACCATTTTTAAAATTCAAAAAAACACATGCCAAATATTTTTAGGTCACCGAAAAGGAGGAGCCTAATTTTATTTTTTAAATTGCATTTCGTTACTAAGGGAGATGGTGTCTCAGTCAGGGCTCCACGAGCAACTTTAAAGACTCTGAAGGACTTTTTCATATTTATTAGTGTCTGTTCTTTTTATTTTTTTGTTTTAAAATTTTTCAACTTTTATTTTAAGTGCAGGGGTACATGTACAGGTTTGTTAAAGAGGTAAACTTGCTGGGGTTTATCGTACCAATGATTTCATCCACTCAGGTATCAAGCCTGGTACCCATTCGTTATTTTTCCTGATGGTCCAAAGTGACATTTTCTTGCAAAAAAGATGGAAGATGGAAGAGCAACATTCATAGGCCTACACACCTATGACACATCTGATTAAACTAATTACAGCCTTCAAAAATAATAAACAAGGACTGAGGGATTCAAAGAAATAAAGGCCACAAACAGCATATTAATATAACACCATTTCTCGTCAGGTGTCACCAAGAGAAAACAATCACACGTGTTCATCTCATTGTAGTTTGCCCTTGTTGAAAGGAGCTGTTTTACAGGGCTGTCTCTTCATGTGTTAGAGACCTCGCACAGCACTCCTACTACTGTCACTTCAGGTAGTGTCCAAGCCCACCTGGCTCACAAGCGCATCCCCACAGGGTCTTCGCTGATGTGTACGCACCAAATGGAAGCAGCTAGATGCCCCTCTGCAGCAAGCATGAGCAACACTGCAAAGGCTGAATCAAAGAAACACTAACCAGAAAAGACTGCATTCCAATTTCCCTGAACATGTTTAAGACAGAAAGCAATAGAGTATACTAGTTTTCGAAATGCAATATATTTAAGTCTCTACTTCGCAATCTTGTGTCCTTATGAACACATACCCAGAGAAGCAGTACAGGATAAAGAAATACCTACCGGACTCCCAAGCCAGGGACTGAAAAGCAGCTCCTCCTTTGCTTACTGGCTCTTACACACCTTTTTGGGCCAAACTTTCGTCTTTATGTGGGAATAAACAAATAACAGTGTGTCGGGGAGGAAAGTAGGGCGAAGTCGGATTGCAATACTTGCCTTGCTGAGGGTCCTTGTGAAGATCAAATGGGCCAACAGATACGGAATTTTTTTTTGGAAACTTTAAAATCCTACATAAAGGCAAGATACCACTGTATTTTTTCACCTGGAAAAAAATTCTCTGAAAACTACCTTTCATAATTGAATTCTTTCCTCAAACGTACTTTTATTAACTGATGGTTAACAAAGCAGTGAACTCTAACAAAATAGAGTTTTTAACCAGACTATATTTTTAAAAAGTGAAATAAGAAAAAATATATATTTGTATAAGGTCCGGTGAGGTGACTCATGCCCAAAATCCCAGGATGTTGGGAGGCTGAGGCAGGAGGATTGCTTGAAGCCAGGAGTCTGGGACCAGTCTGGGCAGCAAAGTGAGATCCTGTCTCTATGAAAGACAAGACAAAAATTATCTAGGTGTGGTGGCAAGCACCTGTGTTCCCAGCTACTCAGGAGGCTGAGGTGGGAGGATCGCTTGAGCCTGGGAGTTGGAGGCTGCAGTGCGCTGCCTCGAACTGCACTGGTGCCACTGCATTCTAGCCTGGGCAACAGAGCAAGACCTCATCTCCAAAAACAACAACAACAACAACAAAACAAACAAAACAACAACCACAGAAAACAGCATTCGTATATAATCAGAACAATGACCACATTCTTTCCAAATTATACGGAAAGACCAGCAAAGCTCAGGAAGAAATGAGCCATGTTCTGAAGCATTCAGTCAATCATTACCTCCTCCAAAAAAATCTCTCCGCTCTAGTCCTACTCATTGTGCAAAGCTAGCAATTTCTTTCTGTTCCCACTACCATTCCTCTAGGTCAGGCACTTGGTCTCTTGCCTGTTTGCTGAAAGAGCCTCCTATCTGGTCACTGATTTCTCCCCCGTCTCATTAACGGTCTGGAGTGGAGTCAGAGTGATGCATCTGAAACAAACCCTTTCAGGGTGGGCCACCTCTGGCATCATCTTTCTGACCCACCCACATGCACACTCCACTCCAGCCAGCCTGAACCCTTTAGTTCCTGCAGTCCACCGTGTGGCCTCTTGCCTCTGGCCTTTGTTCCTGAAGTTCTGCCTGGGGCCACACTTGCTTCCTCCCACCCACTTCACTAGATTGATTCCTGCTCATCCTTCAGTCTTCAGTTCCCTTCCTGGGAGGACTTCCTTGACTGTAATATTGCGGCATCTATTCTCATAGCTGTAAGCATGCTCTCCTGCAGCTGCTGTCGAATGGTCTTCACTCCCCCAGACCAAGCTCGTCCGACCCACAGTGGGTGGATGCAGCCCAACACAAATTTGTATACATACTTTCTTAAAATATTATGAGATTTATTTTTTGCTTTTTTTTTTAACTCATCAACTATCATTCATGTTAAGTGTATTTCATGTGTGGTCCAAGACAATTCTTCTTCCAATGTGGCCCAGGGAAGCCAAAAGACTGGACACCCCTGCCCTAGACTATCAGCCATACCTCTCTTGCTCTCACTTCCCACTTCTCCAGGACCTGGCTAATTTTTTTAAAAAAGTATGTATAAATGAATAACTGATCTCTTGTTCTGTCTGCTTTAATCACGTAACTGAGTGCAAAGAAACAATTATTCACTTAAAAACACAGAGATGCAAGTGGGTCCTTTGCCATAACAATGAGGCCACTCTTTGTCAATATCCTGCCATGTCAAGCAGGTAGAGAGGTTTTAAAGAAGAGTCCAGTATCCCAACTGACATTAAATTTCCCTATATTCTCCATATTTTAAAAGCACTGGTTTACTCATCGGTCGTGCCCTTTACAAAAGGTATTTTCAAATTCCAATGACATGTACTTTCATCGGTTAATTTTTAATTGAGCCAAATATTAAATGCTCACATTAACCAGACAAAGCATTTTTAGCTACTGATTTGCAGTGACAGCTTGTGTTATTCTCACACACAGGCCAAGCATGAAATAGAAAACTAATAACCCCTTAACTATATTCTCAAAGTATCATTTATGGGAAAGAAAACTGCATTCAAAGGAAACTTGTGGAATGGCTGTCATTTTTTTTTTTTCTCTGAGCCACAAGCTGTTACAAAGCAGGGGAGCTCATTTTCTCACAGATACGGACAAGCTCAAGAATCCCACTGTCACTGGATGTATTCATTAAGGAGGAATCTGGCAGCAGCACAGGGGACAGATACTTTGGAGAACAGGCCAATTATCTGGGTGTCCTTTATAATTTGAAGTTTCTGAATTCACTCATAGATAAGCCGCTTGAAGAGGGCCTGGCAATGGGAACATAATGCGCAGATGGCCACTGAAGAAACGAGAGGGAGGAAGGGAGGCTGGAAGAGAGAAGAGAATTTGCTTGTGGTTTCATTCATGGGGACAAATCTACAATCTGACACATTCATCTTTTTTAAAAGCCCCTGGAGAAGTATGGTCAAGCTTCGTTACAAGTAAACAAATCAAAATCTTTCTCAAACAGATGACAACTGATGCTTTGAGTTTGCTTCACGCCAAGGGATGAGGGTTCTCAAAATACAAATTCCATCAGTTGTTAAAACCACAGATAGGCTGTGATGCTGCCTTCAACCAGAATAGAGAACTTGGCCAAAAGCTGCCAGGCAATTGTTTTATCTGAGACATCCCAGGTGGTCTTCTCCGTGAGCAGTGCCTTCAGAAATGAAATCTTAGGGTCTCCCACCTCTGGGAATGCTGAAGTGTACTGACTTCCACCTTCAACTGGCTGCTTGTTTTTATAGGAGAAGAACATGGGGATCATTTATCCCTGCGACTTTTATGCCGCAGTTCTTTTTATATTTGAGCTACAGCACTGATCAGAGTTAAAATCCACCTTGCTCCCACTGTGAGAACCTTGGGCCGGCCCTGCTTTCTATAATGATAGGGTGATGAATAATCTCAGCCTTCAAAACCCTTTCAGTCTGGGTTAGGCTTGAGATGTGAAACAGAAAGAATGAGAGCAACTAGGCACGTGTATGTAGACTGTGTGTCCACAACCTTTGTATAAACAATGTGACAACCAGCAGGCTGGTATCTATATAAGCATTAAGGACCAATAAATGTCAAATGTTTAATATAAAGCAAAAATCTAGATTTCTCTTTAGGAATAAATGATATACATTGTCAATTCAATGAAGAGGATGAAATCAAAACACTTAATAGGTATTTTTTTCTTTCATTGATATTAAATATTAATAAATCTGTAGGATGGGACATTTCAGACAACACATACACACATACACATGCATGTACACACACATGTACATACACACACAAACTATAATAAAAGAAGTAGAAGAAAATTAATCCTGCTTAGGATGAATTGCTCAAAATGCTTCTAACAGAATCATTTTATTCTTTCGTTCAATAAATAAAATCATTGTGTGTGCCTACTATGCCAGGTGCCAGGTTGAATGTAATAGAAGAAACATTTTATTAGTAAGGAAGTCCCAATGAGAAAGGACACCTTGATTTTGTAAGACCTAGAGTCACATGTAGAGGATACTATTAGGATATTTCGAACAATACTAATTTGACTCAGGTTGAAGTGCTGGTTAAGTTGGCAACTGGTAGTGGGGAAGCCAAGCTTTCAACAGAAAAGCTTCAAGTTACCCACCTTAACCCAATCCATGCAATCTACAGATTGCCCTTGGGAAAAGTGGGTGCAAACAGCAGCAGTAAAAGAAGATAGCGTGAGCAGTGGCAGTTAGGACCACTTTGGGCAATGAAAGAAGGCAAAAGGGAAACCTACATGATTTGTGTGGCAAGGCTTAGTATGGTTCAGCTCAGTTTCTCTCTTGAGCTCCAGATCCTTATGTCTAAGGCTTACTGAGCATTTCCACTTGGATATCCTACTGGAACGTCCAAAATTAAATCCATCACATGTACCCCACAAAGCAGTAACTGTTCTTATCTTTCCTTTCTCTCTGGAAGACAGTATCATTTTTTGAGCCAGCCAGGACGGCACTTGAGTCCTGACTCCTTCCCTCCCTCATTCCTCACATTCGACCTGCTGTCGGTCCTTTGATTCTACACCTGCATCAGTCCTGTCCCTTCCGTTCCACCATTGTGCTTCAGACCTTACACCTGGTCTCCCCGTCCAGCCTCAGTCACTGTCATTCCTCAAACCCATGCATCCCGCCTTGTCTCAGAACCTTTGCAACATTCTTTCAACGTCCCTGGTACAGCTAAATATAGCCGTCCCTCCGTATCCTCAGGCGATTGGCTCTGGGAACCCTGATAGAGACCAAAATCTGAAGATGCTCAAGTCCCTGATATTAATGGTAGTACTTGCATATAGCCTGCAGATCCTCCTATATACTTTATTTTTTTGTCTCTTATTTTTTTTTAGACAGAAGCTCGCTCTGTCACCCAGGCTGGAGTGCATGGCACAATCTCAGCTCACTGCAACCTCTGCCTCCCAGGTTCAAGCAATGTGAGTAGCTGGGATTACAGGCGCAAGCAACCACACTCAGCTAATATTTGTATTTTTAGTAGAGACAGGGTTCCATCGTGTTGGCCAGGCTGGACTTGAACTCCTGACCTCAAGTGATCTGCCCACCTCAGCTTCCCAAAGTGCTGGGATTACAGGCCTGAGCCATCATACCTGCCCTACCTCATATATTTTTGATCCGAAGTTGGTTGAATACATGGATGTGGAACCCAAAGATAGGGAGGGCTGTCTGTACAAGTTTCTCAACTTAGTATGCAGTGGTAAGTTCTCAAGACTATGGACTTATCTCAGGAGAGTTCTCCATGCCCCAGTCAAATCAGACTCTCCACAATTCCCCAAACACACCTTACACATTCCTGCCTGCTTCGATGCGTCCGGTTCTACTACCTGAAATACCTTCTCCCCATATTCCTACCTCTTCTCTAAAACCTGTCTCAAAATTATCTTCTGCATGAAACTCTTAAGATACCACTGTGGCTGCGTTGGGCCTCTCTGCTACACATGCCAAGGGTTACAGCGATTTGCATCCTTGTCTTGGTCCCCTACTGATTGCTAAGTTCCTTGAAGGCAAAAGTTATCTGAGACGTTTTATTTTACCTAAAACACCTTTGCATGGAGTAGGGCCTCAATCAATGTTTTTTTTTTTTTCAATAAATAAAAGCGTGCATCCTTTCCGAAATAACCGGATCCTGAAAACCCTTTCCATGACCATCCCTGCCCTGGTTCCTGGGAGTCCAGGGTTAAGTTTTGTGGACAATTGCTCATTTCCCCCAGTTAGGACTTCTTCCAATCATTGTCTTCTTACACCATCACTTTAATGGTTAGTAAGTGGCTCTGTCTCACTGTTCTTATAATTTTGTTATAAAATTTCTCAAAACCTCTCAGTGTGTGTGTGTGTGTGTGTGTGTGTGTGTCTGTGTGTGTGTGTTTAAAGATGCTGGCAGGAATCCATAAAGGGAATGGCTAGGAGATAGCCCTGAAAGTTTATACCCAGAAATGCCAATGCTGCCATCCTTTATGGAATTGCTTTTTTTTTTCAAAAAGATAAATCAATATTTAAAAGCTGATGATATAATTTGTACTTAATTTTCTTCCTATTGTAATTGTAAATCAGATATCAATATATCTGAGATATAGCATTGAACGAAGAGGACTAAGTATGTGTGTCATATTCTCTTAGAAAATTCTAATGAAGCTGAAAGGAATATTTGGCTGCAGTTCAATTTCCGGGTTAATACAGAGATACGCATTCATCATGTTGTAAAGCAGAAAAAAACATCATCTTAGTTATCTGCTAAGGAGAGCTGGGAAAAGTCAAGAAAAGACAACCTGCAACATCGATCCTTTGTTTGGCGCTCCAAGCATTAAAATTGGTAAACTCACCATACTCTGTTGCAGCTTAACTGTCTGTTCGACAGTTAAAAATAAAGAAATACAGTAACTGGATCTGTCACAAGAAAAGATGTATTGGTCTCAATGGAAAAAAACCTCCCCTGAAAAATTAAAGCTTCACTTGACACAGTGGGTTCTCGAGTTGTTTTTGGGAGACATGATACAGAGCAGAGTGGAGTCAGTCATAAGTTTCTGACTCATTACATGGAAGCCCCAGAGAGCTGATTATTAACTAAAAATGGAATATGGTTCTATCCCGTATTGAAGGCAAAACAAGAAGCAGAGTGGAAACACAAATTTCCCCATCGAAGCACATGTGGCCTAGATGCGGTGGTCAAGGGCAGGTAGGTGTCTTTCATAGTTAGCCTGCTCATGGAATACGGCTGATTGCCGGAGAAAATCACTCAAGTCACTCTCAGTATATTGCTACGAGTGGCCATACCAGTATGTCAGGGAGATTCCCTTTCTCACATGTTTAAAAGGGCATTTGGGGAAGTAGTCCTTACCCTAAGCTATTTTAGTTTAGTTAGTCAAAAATGTATCAGAGGCTCAAGTATGACCTCACTACAATCTTGCACACAGAAATCAAAGCAGGTAAAAATTTTGCCAGCAGGTACTATCTTTTCTTTGCACAGGGTTAAAGTTTATAATTTCTGGAGGGAAAGGATAGTATCTGGTCACAGAATTTTGACCTGCCCAGCTGCCTGCAGCATGTTTGGGGTGAGGGTTGCCCTCTCACTTTGGTTAGACTCCCCACTTCTGCTCCCTTTTGCTGGTATCTAAGGGCACAGCTGTTTTCCTCAGATGAATCCTACCCTTCATTCATTGGATGTTAACAAGGAGCTACGTCTGAGAGGTCCCTCTCTGATGGAATGATGAGGTAGGTAGGGGATGGTCACGGTCACGGGGGTGGTGGCACCTATGAGAAAGCCCCATGACTTGAAAGAGAAAGGAATAATCATTCAAGCCTTACTCACACTGAAGGACAGATGGGTGTCTCTTTTGTCTGGCAAATGGCAAGCAGAGAAATGGTGCTGTGGCATATATAGAATTGGACATATATCAGAACAACAAGTGACAATCTATAAAAATATGTTTTTAAGTGAAAACAGCTTTGTTAGCATTTTAAAAGTTTTACAATCTCCATCTAAATAAGCAGGACCATAAGCCCAAAAAGTCCGAAGGCAAACACCTGCTCTTTAGAAACAGGAGCGTCATGAAGGACTGTGAAGTTCTGTAACTAGCACTGTAGATGTATCTCAATAAATAGAACAGCAATATAACCTCAAACCAAAACAAAACAGAAGCTTTTTCCCTCCCTCAAAGGAAGAGCCCTGTTCTGGTTCAAAACCTCCTTGTATTTTTTGGCATACAAGTTATTTAAGAAAGATAGTTCTTCAAATTACCCTGTTCCAGTCAGTCTAATCAGAGCCTTGATTGTCTTTTACTTAAAAACATAATGAAATGTTTTAAGAATTGTAGACTGCTGTTTATTAAGTCTTCTTAGTGTGCATAAATAGTGCTTAGTGGGTTAATATTTACCAAGTGAACTCCCCCTGCCTTTCAGTTCTCTTAAGCATATGCCTATGTTATACAGTATTTTTAAAAGTATCTACATTTTGATCCTATTTAAATTAGGCCGAATGCACACATGAACAGCCATAGAGTCAGAAATAACATTCTTAGACCAAGATTGAAGTACACACAAAATAACTTTATAGTTACTTGCTTTTTCCCTCTAAGTCTCTGAGTCTAGGATCATGCTTATCAGGCAGTACAGTAACTGTGAGTTTCTTCAGGCGCCTGCAACACTTGCCTGTGAGTTTATCCAGGGCAGAGGCTCCTTCCCATGCCTCCAGCCTAACCCAGGGCAGGACCCACGTAAGACTGGCAATCATGTCTGTGGAATAACTGTCTCAGTCCTTGGATGATTTTCATCATTGATCCTGTTTAGACATCAAACATTAAGGTTGCTTTAACCAAACCAAGAGGCATGAAAGAGAAACTTCACAGTGGAGTAAATTCACAGAGTGGTCTTCTATATGTAGCTGACAGAAAGGATGACCAGATTGAGAAGTTACTGTTATATCTGAATAAGGTGATATTAGATTACCTTAAAAAGGTTGAAGAGAACCTTTGAACCTCAAATACAATATATCTCTGGGGGAAAAAAAGAAAACTTTCTACTTGTACACTACAAAGACAGTGTTGTTTGCTAGCACAAATGCACTTCTGCTGAGATACTGCTTTGCTAAACTACTGCTAAGACACAATGAGTGACCTTAGAAATGGGTGCGGAGGTATGCTGGGTGGGAAGCATCAGGTTAACACACTACCCACACACTCACTCACGAGTGGGCTTATCATCCCTCCAAAAAGCACTATAGGACTGGAACAGAGATAAGAAAAAAACTACAAGAATTTTGCTTGCTTTTTTTTTAACCTGTGGCTTTCTGTTACCTGGTACACTGTGTGGCCTGATGACATTTAAGTAATCTGAAAGGTACCAGTTCAATCAAAGATTACTAAAAAGGACAATCCGTTCTCATTAGAAAGTACAATTCAAAGCAAAGAATGCACAAAAGAAAGCTATGTTTTTAATGGACGTTAAATAGCGACAAAGGCCCTAAAACAGAAAAGAGAACTCAAGTTAACTATAAAATTGTATGAAGGTCCAGAAACATAATCACTCCACAGCACATGACTGCAAACTCCAGGGGCAATACTATGTTTTTTCTACCAAATAAATTATTGAAAGGGGTCATGTGATTCTTAGCAGGCAGAAAAATACACTTTCCCAAGGAAAGTTCATCATGAAATATATTATTTAAGACTAGATCATCTTCAAGCTATTTTTAATCCTGTCGTTTCGCTGCCAAAATTGGCCATACACAGCCAATCCTCAGATACTAGAAAAATGATGCTCTTTCATATAATTTGTACACTGGCATGAGAATGGTATTGCTTTCTAGTTAATCAAATGTTTTGCTGGATGTGGACTGCATTCAGAAAGGAAAAACTGCTTGCTGACTAACTAATGAAAGGGAAGCTGAACTCTACCAGGTGTGGAGAAGTTCCCATCTTCCTAAACCACCAACACCAAAGGACCAAAAGATGGATTACCGTCTCTTCAGTAAAATTAAGCTCATCTCCTCCAGTCTCCTGTCTGAATCATCTCATTTTTCTAGTAGTCCATATCTCACTCTCTCCTAAGACGTGAAGCTGAATGTCATCACAGTTCAGTTTGGGAAGCCACTCACCATCATTTGCCCACAACTCCTGCCTGCAAGAGTCCCTTTGTCTTACAGCAGTTGCAAGGTCACTAAAGTAATTTCCAGAATTCAAACTGTGTCAGGAGGAGATAAAATAATAACTAACAGAGCTATTAAAAGAGTTCATTCTCTTGACTTTAATTGCAGAAGAAAAGCTATCTTACTTCTTAATGGGACCAGTGATGCCGATACAAATTGGGTAACTACCATGAAAAATATTTGCGAGAAGACTGGGCTTGTAGTAATCTACCTGCTTGCTATCTCTCCTTCATCCCAATTCATGTCTTCCTAAAGTCAGATAACAATAGCGGAATATTCAGAATTCCAAGTAATACTACAGATCTTTAAGGTCACTGGAAGGGGCCAATGCAGAATCCATCCCAGGTAGCAACGCTTCCTAA